GAGTTCCAGAGTAGAGGAGCAGCAACTGAGAAAGTACGTAGACCATATGACTTGAGATTATAAGATTTTGAAGACAGCAACAAGTGAGAATACGAAGATATGTGCACCATAAGTAGAGTGAATATAAATGAGCATTCCTTAGCATCCCTTTTTTGTCTGAAATGTTTTGCCATAATACTTACTCTGCCTTACTGATGCTGAACGTTTTATACGATGCATTCATATATATATGAGTCATATAATTCGAACAAAGAACCTTAGGTTTACAGTTTAGACGTTTTAGGGATAACAGATAACAAATCAACGTTACAAATCAACGTTAGCCGCCTAACGTTGAGGAAGTCGAGGGATATGGCCTGGGTGATCGATGATGAGAAATGAGTTAGTTTTAGTTATAACGGTGCTTTTGTTGGGATAAAGTGGGATAGTTGTGAATTCCTAGAGATGGGTAGACAGGAACCTGCAGTTAATATGCAAAATTTCAATCGACCTAATATTAGTACCTTGCATTACTTGTATCACGTCTTGGTTCTTTAGACCTGCGCACGTGACGAAAATAAGATTAGTAATAAAAAACAAGACCTCGATTGACGTCCTTCCTGAATCCGCATCGTCGTGACATCAATAATGTTCATGTAAATGTTTTTGAAAATTCATCTACTCAGGTTATAGATAGAGCTTATGCTTAATAGTTTCGCTCAGTGAATACATTTAGAGTATAATTCATTATAATGTTCATGTAAATGTAAAAAAATGTATATGTGTTGCTTTAATGAGGCTCTTATGAATAAAGTACATGTTTCAAATATAATTTAAGATGGAATGATCATTTCCTACTTGCATCGATAAAGTATCACAATAACAAGTAGAATACCAATCGTACCAAAGGCCAGCGGTATCATTATGGCTGTAATAGTTCGAGTCCGACCGAGCGAGGTCGTCGAGTCAGATTTCTTATAAGCGCCATTGTCCGAGTTACTAGATGATGGCTTTGCGTTTGCTTGCATCGTTGATTGAATCATACCCCCTGATGTGATTGTCGGTGGTGTTGTTGGTCCTGTATTGGCGTTCATGCGTTGCTCTGTATTGTCGCCTGTGTAGTTTAGAAATGAGGTTGTTTTACTTTATTAGCATAAGGTGAACTAGACGACGCATGACTCGAAATGGGGGGAGGCACTACATGTAATGAAACAACTTTTAATCAACTTGATAAGAGGCTTACGACGCAAATTATAAAGTTATTAGTGCTTGTCTGCGTTTGATAATCAGAATGTATTCTAGTCTAGGTTGAATACAAAAAACGCTTTGTAAGTCATGATGTTTGTCCCGACGGAAGTTAGACCACAATGAATCTGATTTTCGCCATCTCAGGATCAAAAGACCTGGTTGGATGGCAGGCTTGATTGCATCCTATTATTTTAGCATAGTATAGTGCCTTATAATGTTTCCAATTCATTAACGTCGTGTTATTTCCTTGGGAATTTTTTTGACCATTTCAAGAGACCTGACTGAAGATAGACTTGCATCGAAGGATACAAATTTTAAGATATCTCGGAGCCGGTTCGAGCGATACCTGCTCAGTTCTAAAATTGATTCTCTTTTTTTGGGTGGTAATTCCACTCCATCCACGCTTCCTACGCTAGTTTCTTCTTTTATTTTTAAGTAGAAGCAATTTTAATCAGAGTTTTATACTTACCACGTTATGTAAACACGTGATATTCTGCTCTGAATCCATAGCTGTTGCTCTCTTTGTTCGACCGAAACAAGAACTTTACTTCAGAAGTCGCTGTGACATTGAACGGTTGTTTTACGCCATAATGTGTTTCATTCACACGATATGTGCCATTAATCTTAGTAGAGAATCGTAAATAGTCCTCATAATTACTGCCATTGAGAGAAAAGTTTGTGAAGAAGACGCTTACGGTGTGATTATCAGGGACCATGATCCTCCACAAGCACAGCTGTCCATCCGGGTATTTATTAGGGAAGCCAGGGGACTGGAAAATACCTCGTTTGTTAACCAATCTGTACCTGCAACCTTGACATGGAATTAAAATTTCACATTACGTGTGACTTGAATAGAAGGGTCTGTCAGGAGACCAGAGAAAGATAAAGATAAAGACTGAGAAAAAAGAAAAGAAAAGACAGAAAGAAATAGAAAAAGAAAGGAAAAATAAAGAAAACAGCAAGAAAGAAAGGAAGAAAAAGGAAGTATTACGAAGAGGTTAAATAAACTGATAGATAGAGTTGAAATTTTTACCGGAATAAAAAAGTTATTTCATACGAGAGACAAGATAAGATGCTCACATGCGCAGTTCACTGAGATCGTTGAGTAACAAAATGTTTTGTAAAATACATGAATAATTAATAAGGGTCTAAGCCATTCCAGCTTTAGAAATCAGGTCACATGAATATCATGTAAACTTTACAATGAAAATGCTAATTAGATACAACCACTAGTGGATGTATACTGTTCTGATACAGCACTAGTGGTTGTATCTAATTAGCATATGAATTCAAAATGTTCCAAAGGATTTATGAATTATTAGTGAAATTCACAAGTTGTTTTACGGCAGATGTTCGTATAGAGGTTTTGCACCACCACGTGACGGCAGCCATGTTAAATGGCAGGAACAATACAGTCATTTAACATGAGAAAGAGTTCAATTCCCGAGAGCAAAGGGATTTTATTGCTCTGCCATCTAACCACAAGAAGCCCAAGCAGCATTATGGGATGGGCACGTGATGGTGCAAAACCTCTATAGCCGATAAAACACGGCCACTCATATTGTAAACTTTACTTACAGTCCTTGATAAACTTACTTTCATAGTAGCAATAATACATCGTGACACCATCGC